TACTGTAAGTTAGCCTCTATTGCACGTCGAGAGTTCCCTGCACCTACCACAGACTTGTGTCTCTTCACTTGGTCAACGTGGGAGAGAGGACTATCTTTCAGAGCTTCCCTGTTCCATTACTATACAAGGGGGACAGTTTTTACTTCCTCTGTATTTTGTGAATCTAACAAATGTGGAGAAATCTTATTCCATTAGCAGGTAGAAAAACCTATTTTCATTTTTACACATGCCATTGTGAACAGCCAGAAGTGGTGAATGGTTAACAGATTTAAGTCACTTAAGCTACATTAAAGCTACATTTAAGAGGCTGTTTTTTCACTATGGTAAATTTGTGCACATTTCAAGTTTATCATAGACCATTTTTTCCCCTTTAAAAACACAACACCTTTAAAATTACAACATTTAATGAGGCAAATGCATATGCCAAAAAGATCAAGTAAAAAAAATCAACACCATCTTAAACAAAAGGAAGAAAGAATATAAAAGTGAGCCTGGTGGCAATGGGGATGTCAGTCAAGTCTAATTTCTAGTTCATCTGGAAGAGTTCATGTGACGTCAAATAAGCAGCCTGTCAGGCGGAGGCTCTGTGTCCAAGTCTTGTGAATTTTGATTTTTGTTGTCCATTAGTACATGGTTCTGTCTCCCGGAAAACAAGCAGGTAATGTCATTACTGGCAACGGATGAAATCTGATGCGGGTTCTTACTGGAACCCCATGCTTCCACGACCTGCCACGGTTACTGGAGCCGTGTTTCGACATGCAGGATCAATAAATACAGGGAGCCTTACAGATGTAACGGGTGACACCATCTCATGGTTCCTAACTCCATCTTACTCTTCAGCTTCCTCACGTGTTTAAAACTTGTCAGCAGCTTTGGGTTGTGCAGCCTCCACTGGTGTAGAGGGTACTGCCTTCTCCTTCCCATTTTGTTACAAGACCCAGGTGGTTGGATCCTTCTTAACAGACTGAGGCAGGACTACAACCCCAGACCAGCACACAGGGACAATTAAGAGACCCCAGTATTCATGCTGGTCATTACTCCATGACCAAGCTTTACCAGAGAATAAAGAAATCAGTTTGCATTTGATGCCTGGCATTCTGGGACCTTAGGTGGTTAAATTATTGGTAATCTTCATAACTTGCTTGCACAGCATGCTCATATCAAGACATGATGTTCCTATTAATGTGATAACTCCTTACTTTAGAATTCTTGTTCACCCCTTTTTGTAACATTACTGTTTTCCCAGTAAAGTTAAGCAGTTAATCCACATTGAAAATGAAATTCGGGGTCGCTCAGGTCTCTCGAGCGGCTCGGGTTCTGAGTTGCCGGGCTGAACCTGGTCATGTCGCTAGCCATCTGTAACCAGGACTCCCTGGGCAGCGGGGCTCTGCAGGAGAAGGGCTGGGATGAGCAGGAGAACAGAGGTCTCTTGGCTGCTCGGGGAGCCAGGAATGCTGTGATTGGGGGGGGCCTATAGGTTCACATTGATGTTGGGAAGAGATGTTGCTCCTCCAGTCAGAATTCTCTCTCCTGTCAGGCACATGGAGCTGGCAATATGTAAGTACCTATTTGATGAGCTGTAGAAATCTCATTCTTTTTCATGCGTTGCTGGAGTCATTGCTGGAAAGATGATTTGCTGTTTAAAATTTAGTACAAAATATAAAAGCATTCTTATGGTGTATGAGTGTTTACGAATGCAGTTTTCTGCCTACTACCTACTAGTCTGGGAAGGGCAGCTCTGGCAGACCGGCCTCTCTCTCCGATCCCCCTCACCTTCATGTCGGAGGTCTCGTTCTCCAGCTTGGACAGGTGGTTGGAGTTGTCTTCCAGCTCCCTCCGCAGGTGGGTGTTCTCCTTCCTCAGCGCCTCCACCTGCCTGACCAGCTGGTCGTACGAAGCTACAGACCCTGCCATCCTCACGCTGTCCAATCCCTGAACGCAGAGTGAGAGAGAGAGAGGACACAGCCTTGAGTAACTGGAACAGAGACTGCAATCTCCTGCCTGAGCCAGGTGTCAAACACATTTTTATCAAAATCCCCTTGCACTTGCTATGCAAGCTTTACTCTTGATGCATCATAACTTGCATTAATAAAATTAATTTCCTCTCAAAGGATCTCAAAACACTTACAGATAGGAGAGAACTCACTTCAGCCACCACTGTCGGCTGTCCCACTACACATCAGAAGTGATGAAGAGCGAAGAAAAAAAGAAGTGAGAGAGGGGAGAAGTCCAGAGCAGACCAGTGTCATGGAATCTTTAATGAAGAAGTAACCAAGGCCTTCTCTTCTAAAGCACATGGTTCCTGGCCAGATTAGTGGGACATTAAATTGGATATTCTGGGTCCAGATCAATAAAGATCACCACCTATTGGTCCACGAACACTGCACCCAGCAGCTGGTCTTTCTTAGATGACTGTGCCCAGGGTATAGGGTGACTGTAACGCTTGTAGATAAGGATACTTTTCAAATCCCATCTTGTACTAGAAGAACTGAATGTGAAAAATGAAGCCTTACACATGGATCAGATGAAAAATGGTGCTTAGAATGTGCGGTAGATACTGTAACTAATACAGATCGGCTGTTCATTATTCCTTCATCAATCAGCTCTATTGATCAATGTCACAGATTTGTGACATTTGAGAGCCATTGCAAATAAGATTATATACTGTACAGTTATTAACAAGAGCTGAGTAGTTACTAGTAACTGCAACAAACACAACACAACGATGATTATTTACAATAAAACAAGTTATTTGTTATTGTTTCTGTGTGGTAGTGTAGCAGAGCAGGAGCTGGGAGTGCGGGTGAATCACTAAGACCAAGAGCAATGTGAATTCTTCACCTGGATCAGTTATGTTTCTGGCAAACACAAGTGTCCCTCAGAATGTTTCCCGCAGGATTGCTGGGGGTCCACTTCGCGATGATCAAGATCAGAGCTGATCTCGCACACTTGGCTCACCATCAGCAGCAGCAGCTGTTACACAGGCAGCGTTCATCACCTGTCACAATACCTTTATCACGGTTTTGATCAATGTTTACGGTTGGCCGGGCCTGAATTACAGTTTCTGGTGTGATAATTCAATAAAATTATTTTAAAAAAGGAAAAGCCAGTACAAGTAAGAATCTTTTACTCTTGTATCTGAATATTTGAGACTAAACCACCACAGGTTAGCGATGGACAAATACAGACATTCTTGTCTTGCCATACATCCAGACTTGCCTTGTACTGGGAATAATGAGGTACTGACAAACTGATTTGCAACCTCCTAGATTGACCTCATCAGATCTCAGAAGCTGAGCCTGGGCTGTACTAGGATGGGAGATCAATTTTCATCATATTCAGGGTCACGGGAGCACAGGAGCACAGGAGCCTATCCTGGCAGGAAATTCATGAATGGTGGAATACACCCTGGGTAAGATGTCAATCCATCACAGGGCACATACAGACACAAACACACACACTCACACAAGAAGCCAATTAACTTACCAGTTTGTCTTTGGATTGTGGGAGAATAGCGAAGCACTGAAAGGAATCCCACGCAAACAAGGGGAGAATGTGCAAACTCCACACAGACAGCACCCCAGGTCTGGAATTGAGCCCAGAGCCCCAGCAATGCTGACCACTGCACCACCGTGCCGCAAGAAATGAAAATCACCCACCCTAAACAAGCAGATGTCCTGACTGTCTGCATTTATTTCCACAGAAGCATGCATTCTTACTATAGTGTTTGCTGTGATGGCCTGTTTATCTAACTATTGTCACTGACAAATTGGAGGACACCAAAAGAAAAATTATTTTGAATTTTTAATAAGAAAAAAATGAATAATTTACTCCAGCTAAACAAAGGTTTGCATCATTACTCCTTAAGGCAGGAGACTGATTCCACATTAAGGCAAGTCTCAGGGGATGCTGAAGAAATTATCACTCCCCCCACAGCCAAATGCACTCACCAGCCAAGACAGCGTGTCGAAAAGAGAAATTCGTTTTAATTTTGGAGCTACTTTAATGTAAGGTCCCAGATGATCAGCAAGCATGATGTTAAAAGCCTTTTGCAAACACATCATGGCATCCTGTGGAAGGATTCACTCTATTAATATCTGAACTCCAGCTCAATGGAAATGGCGCATTACAGAAACAAAAGAGCTCTCATCTTATGTGGCATTATCCAGAGGTATCATTCAGAGCACAGAGTGCAGCAGACTCTTACACCACAGATCATGCAATCTGCACATTACAGGGTCAAGATAGAGTGCAAACTTTTTTTTTGGGGGGGGGGCAGGCAATGGCAGTGCAGTAAATTTCTCAGATGGGGGCTCTGAAGCAATTTAAAAAGAAAAGACTCATGCATTTCAGCTGATACACCCAAATCCACTTAAATCCCAAGGAGGGTCAGGATTGCCTTGAGTGCTATAGTGAGGACCCTTTAAGGTCTTTAATTACTGGATTTAAAGCAATCCAATAAATCAATTTTTATAGGCTGCGGTCCGCAGACCGAATTAAAGTCTCATTCCTTAGTAGGAAATGACCCCTTACTATAACAGGGGAGCACAACAGGCAATTGTCAAGAGGGTTTTATATGTCTATTCAGGTTCTTAAGAATAAGGAAAGACTTCACCTTCTCCCTCTATGCAAATAATGAGTTCAATTAGGTAATAAAATCCTTGGGCACTGAGTTGTGCACCGCTGTTCTATAATTTGCAAATTATTCATCCATAATTTAGTAAATTGCTTCAAATCTGCACTTAGTAAGACTTCAGGTTCTATGCTATATTTCCAAAATGTTTTGATTGTGCTACAGAACATCAGTTAGAGGAAACATGGGTGTTACAATTCATTATACATCTGAACACAAGAGACTGCAGGGCTCAGCAAAACAGCGCCCCCTGTGGCCTCCTGAGTGGGGTGTCAGTGAGTGAAGTGTCTCTCCTCCAATCAGAACTGACCCTCTGGTATGTAGCGGTGCCCCCTGTGATGTTAAGGTGAGCAGCTTGGAGCTGGGGGCTTGAAGGAGTCTGCCTGCACTTCCCCACTCTCCCCTGTGTGCGGGTGCAGAGTTTATACCTGTCAGCCAAAACACACAGCTGGCAATCCCAGAACTGGGTGGGCGTAGCAAAAAAACAACAATTGGCTGTTTAAAATTCATAGCCTCTTAAAAAGCCTAGAAATTAAAGTGTTTATTTATTCTATCCGATTCTTCTTCGTTGCTGCCCTTGCCCTTTGCTGCAAGGACAATAGTCTCACAGAACGGATGAGTGAGTTCAGCTTGACACTTCTGCAGCAAATGAGGCAGGGAAGGACGTTTCAGGTCAGGTTTGGTTATATAAATAAGCACAGGGGAGACCAATTGCATAGATTTCAATTCATTTTAAAAGATCTGATGCATGCCTGTAAGGTGGTAGTTAATAATGAGCTACAGTAGCTTGGTCCTTTTGTATTATTAGAGGAGTCTTAGGCAGGTACACATCTGCCTGGTGCAATATCCACTTTCTGTTTTTTATCACACCTACACCAGCGCTTTGCTACAGATCGAACTCTTTTGTCGATTCCAAGATCCTTTCCTCGCGTGTCTCCATTATTTTGCATGCTAGTGCAAAGAGCAGGGATGGATAACCATATGGATGCAGGAAGATGCCTAATGAAGATACCGCATGTGGGATCATCCCATGGGATTTGAGCCCAGCTGTCCGCTTCTGTGTTTGATCAAACAGAATGCGCAGTGACAGATCTAGTCAGCATGAGCACCAGCCCTGAAACCCCCACTGTAACCGCCTGGTGACTTTAATAGCAGCAACAAAATTTATGCCAGCCTAGTGTATGCTTGGGGGGTTGGGCAGGCAGGGGGCTTCAAACCAGAGCATTTTGGTTTATTTTCCTTCATGTTTCAGACCTGTCTCCCCCCACCCCCCTTCGGGGTCTCTAGCTGCAGTGCTTTCTGGGTAATCCATTCAAATCTTCCCCTGGAGGGAAATGTTTCAGCTGCAGCCAAGGATGTCAGCAGCCAGCCAATGGGGCACACCGGCTCGGCTAGTTACCAAGGCAACGGCCAATCCCCCTGCCTGAGCAAGGTGGCAATGCGCAGCAGTAAAAGGCAAAATCAGCTGCAGACAAGAAATGTGATGAGCTATAAAAGCTAACAGTCCCAATTTCCAATCTTCCAGTCTTTTATAGAAATCCCACCCCCTCCCCTCCCTGGCTGCAGTACTGCTTAGACACAGATTTGTGTTGTGCTCTAATCTACTGTGCATAATAACTAACAGAAGAAGCTCAGCTCTTGCTTCTAAATTTCCACAGAATGGAACTGCAGGACAGAGGTGGAACTGAGCTCCTATCTGAATGTGTCAGAGTCTCTAAGCTGTAAACTTGCTTTTTCACAAGGGTGACAAAGCTTTAACATTCAGCTTGTGTGCTCTCTTTTTTTAATTTTCATGGGGAGAAGCTTTCATTTACATTGAGCATGGGTGTCCTTGTCCCCTAAAAGGGCCCTTATGGAAAAACAGCAGTTAAAAAAAGACAGCCCCAGCACACTTCTTCCATTGGCTTCTCAAGGAGGAGACATTTTGGAAAGGTCACCAAACATCTGATGCCTTGATTAAAATTCAACAGCCCTTAGCCCTGACCCCTATTGAACAGCACAGGAATGTTTTATCTGGGAATCCTAGTACCTTATATTTATTCAGATGCATAAATGCACTAGAAATACACAGCAACAACAATTCAGTATATTATGAAACCCCTGTGCTAGTCACATTCTTACAGCAGTGCAGATGAGATTCCTCTCTGCATTAAATTCTTGCAAGCATTATGCTGTACTGCTAAAGGTTTGCTTTGAATACATCTTCATATTAAATTATGGCTCATTAATTCCATGAGACCAGCCAGCTGTAAACAAATGAAAATTCTCAATAGGTTCAGTCCACAATTTTGTGCAAATA